TTGGACAGCAATTAAATTGTAATGCAGAAAATCACGGCGAAATTAGATCCAGAATAGAGCAGGCTAGAGTTGCTTTTTAGAAGGATGTCCAAGGTGTTATGTAACAGAGACCTAAAACTGGCATTAAGGATCCACCTACTTCGCTGCTACGTGTTCTCGGTCTTACTTTATGCTGTCGAGTCCTGGACTGTGAATAAAATCGATCTAAATCGCCTTGAGGCTTTCGAAATGTGGTGCTATAGAAGAATTTTAAAAGTTTCCTGGGTGGAGAAGATTCGTAACTCCATAATACTTGAACGTCTCAGCAAGACTACTGAGATCATAAAAAGGATCAAGCAGAGAAAGCTGGAATATTTCGGACATGTAATAAGAGGTCCCAAATATAGATTGCTACAAAATATCATGCAAGGAAAAATAGCAGGCAAACGCAGTCCAGGACGAAGAAGAACCTCATGGTTGAAGAACTTGCGAGATTGGTATGGTGTAGATACAAGCATGCTATTTAGGGTGGCAGTGAATAAAATTAAAATAGCTATGATGGTAACCAACGTTCTGAAAGGACATGGTACATGAAGAAGAAGAAGAAAAATCTTTCCTGTATAATTCCGTCTGTATTAACAAATCGTACTACCGCACAGAGCTGACTATAATTGGTACCACCAGTTGTTTCGTCTAAAATAATTGCAATGAAGCGTGTTTGTTTAATTTCATCAAATATTTTGTTTGAAACTACTGTCGAAATATCATCAAATTATTCTGAATTCGATTTGAGGTGCCTTGAAACACACTGGACTGTTCTAAATGAGTTTTTAAACAAGGATCGTACTTGGAAATTAGTGAAACTTAGAGCTTCTCGGTGCCTAAGGTATCGCGAAATCCAAATTGTAATCATGACATTTGTTCTTCACATTTTTTATATATTCTGCTATGTATTAATTTACAAATCTTTTTAAGTAAGTGGCTCATTAGGCTAATAATTATTCTGTAGTGTTTGCATGTTATTGGATTTAATTTTTTTTTTTTTTTTTTTTGTATAGTTACAAAGGTCAACTTTAACCAGCTTTGGGAATATTTCCAGTTATTTTGTTAAATATAGTCGGTATCCATTTTATTCCTTGTTCGTCCATAAGTTTCAGGAATTCTGTATAAAATTTGTCAGGCTCTACAGCTTTACCATCTTTCTCTTACTCGAGCTTACTCGCGCAATCGCAGGCCACAAGACAGAAGTGGTCATCCTTAAAGCTCCAAGGAATGGGCCGGACCTAACCTTCCAAATAGGCAATACCCAATTAGAGCCGACGAACTGAGCGAGGTATTTAGGCATCGACCTGGACAGAGGCCTGAGGTATACGAAACACCTGTTAGGAGTGGTTAAGAAGGCGGATAAACGGACGGCAGCTATCCAAAGAATAATACCCAACATAGGAGGGCCCAGCAGCAACAAGAGAAAATTGTACCTTCAAGTAGTGCAATCGACCCTTATATATGGAACTCCCGTCTGGATTAACGTACTGAAATACCAGAAGTACAAAGATATTATAACAAGAGCCCAAAGGAAGCCCCTTTTAAAAGTGGTGAGCGCGTACCGAACCACTTCTACGCCGGCCTTACAGGTGATTGCGGGAACGCTTCCCATCCACCTGCTTGCCAAAGAAAGACAAATGCTGTATGAAGCCCAGGACGGTCACCTACCTCAGGTAAGAAGGACCATACGAGTGAACATGCTTATAGAATGGCAAAGAGAATGGGAGGTACAGACCACGAAGGCTCGTTGGACCAAAACGCTTATCCCCGATGTTGTAGCATGGTACAACTGTAAATTTAAAAGAGTAAATTACTATTTTACTCAGTTCCTGACAGGTCATTGATCTTTTAGATCCTACACATATGGCATCAAAAAAACCAACGATGACATATGCACCTCGTGTGACGAGAGGGACGATGCGGAACATTGCATCTTCGGTGTAATGTTTTCGCCTACGGACACCAACGGCTGCAGAATAGATTCGGCGCGATCGCGCCCAACAACATCATGCAGATTGCAATGACCAGCAAAGAGAATTTTATAGAGAGAATATATAATCAACCATATAACAGGTATCATGAAAAGGAAGACTATAATAGAAAGAGCCGAACAAGCTGGGTGAGGGGTCAAATACAAAAATAAATAATAAAAAAAAACATAAACATTCTTTTTTTTCTTTCTTTTTCTTCTGTACAAAAATGTACCAAATATTACCCTTTACGGTAACCTCCCCTTTTTAAGCTCCAAGTTTTCTCCGCTTGGGAACTAGGTCTCCTTCCCTACACGCTTACTGCTTTTAAGTAAGTGCTGTAACTAAAATAAATAGCCATAAGGGCACCTTTAACACAGTCTGCGCGTGGTATCCCCATGTTTCGTTCGCTAATGAACTCGTCCAGGGATACCATGGGTCAAAGAGGGGGTGGTTTTAGTTGGTAGGCGACCTGGAAGGGATGTCCGAAGGGAATCCAACAGTACAAGGGACACCTTCCCTAGTTGATGACTTCTTCAATTGTAATTAGGGGTTCTGTTTGGTATTCTATGGCTTCAATAGCAATCTGCCTTTCATCTGCAAATGTTTCTTCCTCATTTTTCTTCCAAGTGTCTAGTCTCTCTTCCACACTTGAATCAATCATGTTTCTGTTGTAATAGCTGTACTTCCGCACATTGTTTTCTCAGCTGTGTGTCCTTAGCCATTCAGATTGCTTTTTTGATCTCTTTGTATATTCTTTTGTATAATGTCTGATCCTGATCTTTGACCATTTGCCTCTCTTCCATCATATCTAAATCGTATTTGTCAATCCACCAGTTTTTCTTAATTTTGGTTTCTTAATCATCAAACTCAATTTTAATTAACTTAGTACAAGATGCAATTCCATTTGAAAGCCAGAGGCATATAATTTAAAAATTAAAACATCAATCAAACTTTGAACAAATTTAATAATTCAAATAAAATAAATATTATCACCAAATTTGTAAATTGTAAAACTATATCTTTACATACATAGTCAAAAAGGAATGAGACTCCTTCACAAACAACTTAATAACTTATTAAAATATATCAACATTTTATAGAAAAGAATATTTTATTATCACCAATAAGAAAAATATGTTTAAAAGGGCAGTTTTCAATGAACATCACTCAGCTGAATAATATCTGCATCCCGGCCATTAGCTAATGGTTGAATTTCTGTATCTTCTATCCAACTTTGGTCCTTCGAAACTTCATTTGTGACTACTAAGAATAACTCCTTGTCTTTGGATTCTACCTCGTCTCTTAAATAATTTATAACCTCCTGGTCCTACAATGATAAATAATATTTTATACTTTATAAATTTTCGAGATCCTCTAATACGAGAAGGTTCAGTACACAGAATGAAACATGGTTTATTGCATTCTATTAGCACTGTATTAAGATAGTAATGAATTAGGCATTGCTGCAGCTGTTATTTTGGAAAGAAATATCTTAAGAATTGTCAATGAGACACATGAAATAGTTGCAGATAACAGTTCATCTTTTCTATCACCAAAAAAAAATATTACTTAGATAAATCAGATAAACATAGTAGAATTATTACAAATATGTTTATTGTTGAGAGATTAAACTGAGAGTTTTACAGGAGATGGCCATAATGAGATGAATTTCGAAAATCACAAAAAAGTGTTAATGAACTAAAAACAATAATTGCTAACTTGAAATTAACTCACAATGTCCAAAAAGATAAAATACCAATTTCTAATATTTATAGAGAATATCAGAAGATGTAAAAAGGGAACAGAATGTAGGGGATAAATTTGAGGCCTAAAATTGATCAATATAGCAAGAAACAGAGAAAAACAGAAGAAATAATGGGAGGCCTATACCCAACACTTAATAAATAACATGTTGTTTATACAGGATTTTCATAAGTACATGTAAATAACTTAAATCGAGAATTTATTCCTAATGAATGAAATATTTTTGAGCAGATTACAAAAATAGTATTTACTTACCCCACCAATTAATTGTGGTGCATCCAGTTTTGAGTCTAAATTATAGTAACCACAGTTTATTTGCTTTATAGTTATCCAATGCCGCCTCCAAACAGGTAAAGTAATAAAGCCTAATTTGTATTCACTTGGTATATTTAAAATAAAACCAAATATATTACCAAGAACTAAACAAGAAGGGTCCCTACAAATGTTAATTTATTAAAATATTTTCTAGAATAGGTACAGGTAGAAGGAATCACAATAATATTTATTGTATGATAACCACTAACTGAAGCTTAATCCATTCAGATACGATACATTTCAGGTTCATATAGTATCTGAATCCTAGTAGGTATTATACAAATAATAGGTTTGTTCTAGCAAACAGACAAACTAGTCGGAAACCGTCAGCAAACAGTTGGTCAGCGAGAGAAAATAATACAGTCACCAGTGCTATATCCCCTCTACTCGCACTGGTCCACTATTCGCTGATGGTTTCAAACCGTTTGAAACTGATGCTAGAACAAACCTAATGATACATACCTTCTTTTATCAAACCAAATTACTTCATAGCCTCTGTCTTGTAAAGCCTTCATAATTACATTAATATCATAATTTCCAAGTCCCAGCATGGACTTGTGCGGATTTATCCAATGATTTGGTGATAGAGAAATGCATATTAAATCTAATTCAGCTTTAGAAAATGTACCTTTGGATTGAAATAAATTATTTAAAGCATGTAGGGCACATAGTTCTCTTATTTGTTTTTCATGATAGAGACTCATCGTTTCAGTCATATCTAATACAGTATTAATTATAAATTCAAAGACCAGTTATACAGAGTTTTGCTTTCTCAAAATAAACTTTTTCTTTATTTTTACTCTTTATTTTTATTTTTGATTGATCTAATTTATCTGTCAGTTTCACAGTATATACCAAAAGTAGTAGTGTAAGTGCAATGGGAAATGTGGGAAGAGTGAATTACATTGGCCCAGCCGTTCGTAATGGCTATGGCGGTAATATAAGTCATAGCCATCTAGCAAAAAGATAAAAGAGGGAATCTAATCGTTATGAAAAGGAGACCAAAAAAGTGGCCTCTGATGGCGGACATATCCGGAAATGCAAAGGCGCTAAATTTAAATTTTCCAACACTTGTTAACAATACCTGTAAAATATTTTTCAGACAAGAAAGTTTTAATTAAATATTAACGATAATAGTCTAAAAAGTGACATAATTGGTAAAAAACTTCAATATAAATAAAATTTCATGTGACAGTTGGGACAAACAATAACATAACCAAACTAAATTTGACTTCTTAAACAAGGAAAGAGACTGTCTTTCCTTGTTTAAAGTGGCCTCTCAAGATGGCACTTCCTGTCTAACAATATTGTTGTCCCCACTACCTTTACATTCCCTCTTTTATCTTTTTGCTCGATGGTCATAGCACACTACCAATGACGTGTAATATATAGACTCGGTGAACGCTTTAAAAAGTGTCCAAAACATGAATACCTTTGTTATTGTTTATTGTTTTGATACGAAGATACACGAAGTTCATGATTTCTTACGAAGCATCACGAAGTTGATCTTGTGTTTGAAAACATCATGGACGTATGAAAACATTTTCTCCATTTCGTGTGACAAGCAAATTTTATTTTAAATTGTTGAGAGTTATTTACTTACTATTTTAGTAAAATGCCATACTATTTTATCAAAATAATTATTTCTCTTATAGATGGGAACAAAAAGAAATCATAAATATTTAATTTTAATTAAAAAAATAATTATTGTCATTAAAATATAAATGAACACGCCGCTGTTCTGATAAACATACCTTCAACCTTGAGCCACAGAATAATAAACAAACAGAATACCCACTCTCCACGGAAAATTAAGTACGCGCATCTCCTCCGCGCAGACGTTCCGCCATGTTTTAGGAGGATTTTAAAGAAATTAGTGTTGTTTATGTGGTGTGCATGGAAAAATTAACCAGGTTTATTTGACTTACGGCAATCAAAGACATACAATACAATTATATTAACATTGTTAAATATAATAACATAAATATAATATAATTAAACATAAATATAAACAATTACATAACCACACAAATCATATGTCTGTGTCCTCCTAAAACATGGCGCGCGTGCTGAAAAACTTCAAAGGCGGCATCTGAGAGTGGCCCTTCTGTTTGTTTATTATTCTGTGCTTGAGCCGAGATCTTTCGGACACTCGATTCTATAGCGAGAATAGGGGACTGCGTAGTCTATATATTATACGTCATTGCACACTACCACCTAGCATTGAAACTTCCGTGTTGACGAGTAAAACAATGATTGGCGCATCACCTAGTGACCGGGCGCCTAACTATAAATACATGGCGCGAAATTCAAAATTTTTGTAATATTACCTAGGATTGTAAACTCATTTTAAAGTAAAGGAAAATCGATATAATCTTAAAATAACAAGAAAAATCCTTATCCTATACGATAATAAATATTTTTCGTATACTTTTTGGGTTTTCTTGTTATGTTGAGACTATATTTATTTTACATTACATTAAAATGCCAAAGTGGTTAAAAAAATTAAAGAATAAAATATAGAATAAAATCTTTATTTATAAAAATATTACAAGAAATGTAATATGTGTTACAAGAAATATTAATAATACAAGCCAAGTGTACTATAATTTAGTTTTCTTAATGTTGTGGCAAGAATTGGTCAGTATTTAAATAATTGTTTTGTCTTAGTATGTCAAGTTTTATGTAAATAGAAGCCTAATTCTGCAAAAGGCCTTTTACTACAATTTTATTCTCATAATTTGCAAAGAATTCAAACGTTGGTATATAACATTCAAGATTTTTTTAGAAAGCAATGAATCTAAAGATAAATCCCTAGAAGACAAAATAAGTACATGCTTGTAATAAATTTAGTCTATAATTACATAAGCGAAGCAATCAATGGGGAATACCAATTGCTTTTTTCACACATACTCTCACAGATTCAGAAATGCAGACATTATCTGGTAGGAAAGCAATTCAAACCAATCACAGATTAAATCCCTATTTTGTTTATATAGAATGCTGGCATATATAAAATCTGACAAGGAGAACTAGCTTTACTTCACAAGAATTTATTAATTATCTCCACTCTAAAGGAATATTTCAAGTAGAACAACACCATATAACCATGAAGGAAATGGTTAAGTTGAAAGATACAATGAGTTATATAGAAATTGGTGAATCTAGCATTGAAAACCAAATATTTAGACATCACTAAATGAAAAACTGCTTTACCAGGAGCTCTGTACTATATAAGAAGTTTACTATTGAATTGTTTTATTATTGAATCACCATAATGATGAAGATGAAGTCCAAATAACACATTAGAGAATTCCACTACTAAATCAATGCCAGATGTGACAGAAAATTTACCTGTTCAAAAACCTGATGATAATTATGAACCAAGATTGGAAAATTCAGATTTTCAATCTAGCTGTAAATCAGCTTCAGCTAAAAATAAACCAAGATAGTTGCAATATTTTGTTCACAAATAGGGAAGGGTAAATGTAGTATAATTTAGTGTTCTAAATCTTGTGACAAGAACTTGTCAGTAATTAAATAATTTTATTGGAATTCTAATGTCAAATTAAAGCCTAATAAGCAACACACAGCCGTCAGACATTCTGAGTTCTTTGTAGTACTTACATCCTAATCTACTAACACACACTACCAGTGGTCAGTGAGAACTCTTAACTGTCTGGTGTTCTACTCACAGAAAGACAGAACTCAAGAACTCTGCTAAGTTGGAAACAGAAAAATTAAATGATTTAGTTCTAGAAAGAACTTTATATACATTTATATGATAATATTTTAGTCATATTTAAACCTATAAACCCAACAGTTAGCTCTAAGATTCTAAGATCCAGCACTATAAAGATGAAAAAATAACATTAAAAATAAAAAAATATGTACAGTATTACCTAGTTACAATAATAATATGAAGTATGATTTAAATTTAAATTTTATCTATGATATAAGTTACGTTCATGTTACGTTGTGGGTGGAGGTATGACATCACGGTTCGTAGACTTACTACCTAACCACAGAATAATAAGCAATCAGAAGGGCCACTCTCAGATGCCGCCTTTGAAGTTTTTCAGCACGCGCGCCATGTTTTAGGAGGACACAGACATATGATTTGTGTGGTTATGTAATTGTTTATATTTATGTTTAATTATATTATATTTATGTTATTATATTTAACAATGTTAATATAATTGTATAGTATGTCTATGATTGCCGTAAGTCAAATAAACCTGGTTAATTTTTTCCATACACACCACATAAACAACACTAATTTCTTTAAAATCCTCCTAAAACATGGCGGAACGTCTGCGCGGAGGAGATGCGCGTACTTAATTTTCCGTGGAGAGTGGGTATTCTGTTTGTTTATTATTCTGTGACCTAACCGTCTATATTCTTTGTTACTACGGTTGTCTCTTCCGACTAACCAATGAACATTAAGCCCGACATTACGTCACGAGAGTACAGTAATTTGAATCGTAACATTGTTAATCGGCATTTTAGCAAAATAGTAAAGATAGATAAAAAAATACAGATGTTTAGAGGATTATAATACCTAATTATGAAAAATTGTTGTTATGTAGCACGTTTGATACTTAAAATTAATCAGAATAAAGTTCTAGATTTACGTAAATCTACGTTCAATCTCCATTTTACACTGAAAATTTGTCGCATATACTCAATTATCAATACTGGATTAACTACTATTAAATGAATTACCGGCTCTTAAAGGTCAGCTAGGATTATCCAAGTTAGAATTACTTGTATAATTTAATGTAAGAATTTAAATAATATGTAATAAATTTTAATTGGTAAAAAACGTTACTGGTTTATTGTATTTCCAATAGATATAAATATACACTACATAATTATTTCTTTAATTTTTTTAATATTTTTCTAATAAGTCTTCAATGATAGCTGTTTGTGTTTCCATTGCTACTCTTTTATCTCTTCTTGCTGAAAAACATTCTGTTTGTTTTTAAACATCTTGAGATTTTAGGTTTTTACTGGGAATTGCTACAAAATAGTGATGATAATAAACAGAATTATTAAGTCAACAACACTTACCTCTATCCTGTAATTTCAACTTAGGCCTAGTTCCCATTATTCGAGCCTACATGTCATATGTCATCCACAAAATCATCCTTGAAATTATTACTACATACTCTAGAATAAGTTTTTATTTCTTATTTGATGACTATATTTATTTTTCATTAAAAGCATACTCTTTGAATTTTGTAGCCTACAATTCGGAGCATATTTTTTTAATTTGTCGCCTAAAATGAAATTAGTTCAGCCCGTCCGCAATTGGCGCTAAAGACTTTATCCAACTCTTTCTATGGGACTTACCAATGACGTATAATATATAGACTACGCAGTCCCCTATTCTCGCTATAGAATCGAGTGTCCGAAAGATCTCGGCTCAAGGTTGAAGGTATGTTTATCAGAACAGCGGCGTGTTCATTTATATTTTAATGACAATAATTATTTTTTTAATTAAAATTAAATATTTATGATTTCTTTTTGTTCCCATCTATAAGAGAAATAATTATTTTGATAAAATAGTATGGCATTTTACTAAATAGTAAGTAAATAACTCTCAACAATTTAAAATAAAATTTGCTTGTCACACAAAATGGAGAAAATGTTTTCATACGTCCATGATGTTTTCAAACACAAGATCAACTTCGTGATGCTTCGTAAGAAATCATGAACTTCGTGTATCTTCGTATCAAAACAATAAACAATAACAAGGTATTCATCTTTTGGACACTTTTTAAAGCGTTCACCGAGTCTATATATTATACGTCATTGGGACTTACCTTACTAGAGGGCTATGTACTTTGGTTCTGTCGTGTCGCTCTGTCACTGAAATGCAGTGAAGTCACTATTTGAATCTGTCAAGGAATCTTCTTTTTTAGATATATGTTTACCCACTGGCCACTACCCTAAAATTTTTTATTTTACCTTATTTACAGAAATAAAGTTGTTAATTAAAATAACTGAAATATTCGTGTGTACATAATAACAAAAACTAAAGTAAAGAAACATTTTAAAAATACTATACAAAATACTGAATTTTATTTGAGCAAAATTTTGACATAATTTGACAAAAGATTTTAACCTATAAAGTTATCTTCAATTTTTATTCTTATGACATAATAAACTCGTAAGTCTGTTTTAGAACTGATTTAAAAGCTTACCCTTTCAGAAAAATGTCAGGGATAATGTCTTCTAGAATTCAAATGATGAGAAGAGTTCTACCAATAGTAGCTCGGAGATTTGTATCCACTTCCAAAAAGAATAATGTTACAGCAGAAGTAGTAGACAGTGCAAAATCTAAAGCAAAAGCTTCAGAACAAAGCTGGATAAGTTACGGGTATGAGTACACGTCGAAAAAAGATGACCGAAATGCCATGCATTCAATTATGTTTGCCTCAGTCACCCTATGTATAGTTCTGGGATCATTCTTCTTTGCCTATATGCCAGACTTTAGTTTAAGGGATTGGGCACAAAGAGAAGCCTTTTTGGAGCTGCGTAGGAGGGAAGAACAAGGGCTACCACCCGTCGATGCTAATTTTATAGATCCATCAAAAATTACTTTGCCCTCAGATGAAGAATTGGAAGGTGTAGAAATAATTATTTAAATATTTTCAAGAACTGTATAAATTGTATATTTATGAAGGATGTCAGTGTAATTTTGGTTTGGAAATTATGTATCTACAGACTTTTATAATAGGTACTAATAGTATGTTTCAATCCATAATAAAAGTATAAAAAACAGCTGAGTAATTTTTTGTAAAAATCCAACAATTTAAAACTATTATATCAGATTTTAGAGTATTTATAGCATTCAGTACGAAACGAAAGGGAATAATGGTTTCGTAACTAATATTTTTAAGGATAAGACTTAAGTTGATATAGAGGTTACTAGCAATCAGTTTAATAGTAGCTGACATGACAGGAGATATATGCAGCTTGAACTTGTTTCTCAGTATTCTTTTTTCTATCAAGAAACATTATTTTTTTCTTATTCTCTTATTAAATACCTTTTATCTGAATATAGTCCCATTAGTAATGAATAAGAAATTACATATACAAGCATCACTTTATTAATTTATGATTTGATATTTCATTAATTAAAAAAGACTTTTCAGCTTGACTAAAAGAAGAGCATTTAATATGATTCAGCATATTTCCATATTCAGAAATACATTTTTCTAATGCAAAAAACAAGACCAAGGAGAAGCAAAACAACTAAATGCTATGCTATGTGAACCACAAAACTTTGTGAGCCATCTTTATCTTACACTAAATACTAACCCAAAACTAATAACGAAATACTGTAGTAATGTATTTCTTCTTAATGGCATAGGTTCAGCTACTTGATAACAGGGAGCATACATTGCTAAAACAATAAAAATATATTAACAGTGATCCCAGAAGTTATCAACTTATGACTGAATCCTTATAGCACCCATAGGATATTAACAGGAATTATCGAGTTTTGTTTGAACTTACCCATATAAGTGGCATATTATGGAAATAATCACTTTTGTTTGATCGTGACCACTTTCATATTTATTTTCCATGGTATTTATCAACTTTAGCACAAATTTTGATTAAAATATCAATAGATGTTTGCTTTTAGATGCCGAATCCATAACTAATTCAAAAATTGCAAATTTGGACTCATCCACTTTTGCATGAATGCTCTTCAATATGGTAGGAAAATGGCGGACCGCGGAATTTAGAAAACTGGACACTGGATTGGCAAAAATATTTTAATCATATAATTTTTAAGAGCCTGTTCCTACGGATAGAGTTGGAAACACTGCCGCCGCTTAGCTTGGCCATCCATGCATATAGTTACCAACAATGCCGCCTCGCCAATCGTAGTAGAGCTGAGAGCAAATGAGTGTTGTTGTGACTGTCGCTATTTCTTTTGTATTGTTCGCTTGATAAACTTTTTTAACTGTCGATACTTTTGATTTTTACTTTTTATCGATATGGATCGTACAAAGCGTGAAGTTAATAGTGAAAATAGGAATTTTTGACTGAATGGATTGACTAGTAATATTTTATGCTTTCTGATAGAGCTGGCATTGTTTGAGTTTGCCTAATATGCAGTAAAGTTGTCGCTCTTATTAAAAGTACTAATTTAACGAGACATTATGAAACAACCTACCAATAGTTTCCTCTGGAAAGTGAAGCTCGCCAAGAAAATCTCAAGACATATCTAGATTCTTACATTAAAAGCACATCCATACTACTTTGAAGTATGAGCGAGTAAGAAAAATCTGCAAACGCAGCTTTGCGTTGTATGCTCAATAAACACTAGAAGCAATTTTCAAACTCTGAAATAGTTATAGAATGTATGCTCGGAGTGGCCGGCTCTTTTTGAAGAAAAAAAGGACGTTGTTGCCGCAATTCAATATATTCCATAGTCAGCAAAAAGCAATACATTCATACAGTTTAATAAGTCAAACTCAATAAATTTTATATGGTGTACACCATTCTTATCCGATTTGACACATTCCTACTCTATTTCAAGAGTTTTTAAACAAAAATTTACACTTAGATGCAAAAAACGCAACAGAAGAAATTTTGGTAAAATTCAAAGTATTTCAATTTATTTATTTCTAGGACTATTTTAATGATTTTTTTAACACACTGTGTATACATTTATAAATGTTAATTTGGTATAGTCAGTTTTTTGATAAAATTTTATATTTGTCTTCTCCGGTTACAGCCACATCTCAAAATATGCCTTAGTTCACTTCGTATAGCCAAGTAGTATCCTTTATTAATGCAAGATAATGCGCCACCCCACTCTGCAATGTGTGACGCAATATTTAAAAGAAGTTGGTATTAATAAAATGAACTGGCGAGCTTGTTCGCCAGATCTGAATCCAATAGAGCACGTTTGGGACATGATTGGTATAAATATCAGAGGTCGCGAAGTCGCACCAGCCTCAATTAACGAACTTCGCTTGGCTCTACAAGAGGAATGGCAAAACATCCAGCAAGATGATATTCGCAATCTCATAGACAGTATCAGCAGAGTACAGCGTGAAGCCGTGTACAGGCAGTTATAGAGGCTAGGGGAGGCAATACAAAATATTAAGTTATTTTTAGTAGTTTTTCTTTGTTATTTGCCTACTTAGGTTAAATTACATTTAAGTTGTTTTTTTTTTTATCTCCTTGTCTCGTTATCAATCAATCAATCAATATTTTTTATTTCATCTGACTTTTACAAGTATTGAAATGCGTCAAAATACAATCTAAAAAACTATAGGTACATGGTAGTAAAAAAAGTAAAAACTATATAACACAAAAACATACAAATTGTTGAAAAGATGCCTGCAAGTATTGCTGCTCTAACGAATAGAAAATGTTTACCAGAAGTAAGTCCTTAACTGTTCTCTTAAATACATAAAAATTTTGACTCTTTAACATAATTAGGTAATTTATTATACAAACTAACGCATGTTGGGTAAGGACCCTTGCCCACAACAGTCAAGTGACGAGCAGGGGTCACCAAATCATTTCTGTAACGAAAATTGTAGCCACTCATTAAGGAAACATCATTTCTGCAAATAAAATTACATCTATGTGACTTTACATAAACAACACAACTGAAAATATACAGCGAAATTACAGTTTAAAATATTTAATTGTTTAAAAACTGGTCTACAGGAATCCAAGCGCCTTCTAAACGTCATGGTACGAATAATTTTTTTTTTTATGAGTAAAATGTACATTTTTGTACATGAGCAAAATAGTAAAGTTTTAAGATTTCTAGGGAGACAAAATTCCTAAGTTGCCATAGAACATAAAAGTGTACAGACAATCTTCCCACTGCATAATCAACGTGAGAACTCCAAGACAAATTAGAATCCAGGTAAACACCTAACAATTTAGTGGAGTGGCTATTTACCACAGACCCATTGTCAAGCTTTACTAATGGACTCATCTGCATAGTAGAAGGTGAAAAGGTTACTATATTGGTATATGATCCATTTAAGATTAGGGCATTATTTAAACAGTAATGAGTCATACTTTTTATAAGACAGTTTGCTTTTTGTACTAAATGAAAATAATTATTGGAATTTAGTGCAACTGTGGTATCGTCAGCAAATTGAGTGACATAACAGCCATATTGCTGTTCCAAGTTTTCTACTCGAACGTTTATTGCATCAGAAAAATTATCTAATGGATTCCGAACCAAACATGTTGAGCTATCGTTTATCAGTTGATTTAAATCATTGACGAAAATCAAAAATAAAAGAGGGCCAATGATACTTCCCTGTGGAACTCCGGAGAGAAGAGAGAACTCCTCTTTTGAAGAAAATATATCAACATTCACATTGACCTTCATTTTTTGAAACCTTTTCGATAAAAAGGTTTGGATCCATTTTAACGCAGTTCCTCTAACACCACTATGATAAAGTTTTTCCAGCAGTATTGGATGATTTACAGTTTCAAAAGCTCGTGCTAAATCAAAAAACAAACAGATAACTTTATTACCCTTATCAAAGTTCGATAAAATATAATTGCACGGCGCTAGGAGTACATCTTGAACACTTATACTTTCACGGAATCCAAATTGAGACTTTTCTATAATGTTGTGCCTTTTAATATACGAGAGGAGACGTGTATGAAATGCCTTCTCATATATTTATATTCTTCTCATCCTTATTGTTATCATTGTTGATTAAAACCAAGATCATGTCGTTGCTTTTAATCATTATTTAAATATAGTGCTTTAAAAGTTATTTAAATATAGTAGTAAATGTCTGGGATGACATTCCTTCGATATCAGTCACCAAATCCCCCATCGTCGTATAACAAATGAATACAAAAAATAATGGTAATAATAGGAAAAGTCGTAAATTGTGGGTGGCAAAGTCATTTCGCTCCTAAAAATGAACCAATCCATATTTTCACATGAAACAAAAATCATAATACTTAAAAGACATGGTTGCAACCGAAAAACAAGCTTTTACGAAAATCCGCTAAAGGAATTATTCCACAGAATGTTTCAAAGTTAGGATAAAAAACCACCTTTCGATTTACCCCGTATAATAAGTCAAATACAAAATATTATTAAAAAACTCACTATACTAAATTGAAATTTATAAATTTTTACAGTGTGCTAAAAAAATCATCAAAAAACGGCTAAAAATAAAAAAACTGAAATACTTTGAATTTCAGCAAAATATTCTCTGTTGCGTTTTTTTGCATCTGAGTGTAGATGACAACATTGGGGTCTGACACACCCCACACTAAATCAATGTATTAAAAAATAATTAAGTAACTCATCGTGTTTTTATATTTTATTAAACATAAACATCCTAAAAAACAAAAATAAATTATAATAAACCACATGTTAGAAAAGTAATACCAGTTTACTTTTATTAATACCAATCGCTATTTATTATTCAGCTGAAGCTGCTAAATCAATGAAAAGGCGACACGAATTCCTCCGAAATCGACGAATCGCAGCCTTATTCTTTAACATCGGATGAACTAACAAATTCAAATTCACTACTACTGCTGCTACTGTTCTGCCTCTTGATCTCGGGTTTGTTACTAGATCCTGCGTAACTCCACACATTCGAGACTAACTGACCGATATTCGACCGAACACTGGCAAATCGAGACGTGTTTCCGGAATCGTCGGTAAAATCTGCGGGGAAAACTGCGGTGTTATCTAGAAACCTTTCTTCTTCCGAAGAACTATCTCCGTTAAAGTGGGACGAATCGATACTCATTTCCTTATGATCTAAATCTGAATCACTCGAAATATCACTTGGGGTTAGTGGTGGTATGAGATCTTCTTCCTCTATATCTCTGTCGCCCTCGGCCATGTCCAGAAACGAAGGCATCGTACTTATTCCACTGATAAGTGAATTTGAAACTGAATCTGCAATTAAACAAAACCATATTATAATGTATCCAATTTTATAGTTGTAGAGTATTGTTGCGTAAGCAAAAAAAAATACATTTTGTGAATTTTCCAACAGGTGGCGCAAGTGGTAAATATAATAATTTATGTATTGGATTATTGTAATATAAGTTTTTATTTAGCGTATGGACTTTAACAGTACGATAAATATACAAATACATTTACAATAATATACACATATATATTATTTATATTATTCAAACACTAAAAATAGTACAAATAGAATGAATGACACTAAATATTAATGTCCAATTTACATAGCCATTCAATTGCTTCTGGGGAACATTCCGCAAAGTCCTGGAGGTTTCCACGGTAGGCACGATTCAAGCAGTCTGAAACACAATGGCTTATGGTCTGTCTAGATTCTCCGCAATCGCACTGTGGACTTTCCGCACGACCCCACCTGAACAGCGAATCAGCACATTTACCATGTCCGGTACGTATACGATTAAGCCTTGCCCAAATGGACGGGGCAGATTTGATCCGATGAAACCCTGAGTTGGGTGGATATCTTAATATAGTCCGATTCTACTGTTGGCATCCATCTTGTTGTCCATTGCCTATGTATATCATAGGAATTACCAATTTTCGGGCAGATCGTATTGGAGGATTTCTAGATCTCAATCGTTGTTGCTCTTTTGAGATGTTGGGATATCTTGATGTATTGGTAATTGTACGTTGGCTACAATTTTCTGGTACTCTCTCACTAATGCTGCTGTACGGCGTAGATCTGGTGGAGCAATATTGCTCAGAGTAGGCAGCCATCTCACTGGCGTTGATTTATTGTTCCAGTGATTATTCTCATGGTTTGGTTAAGTTGGACATCGATTTTGCTTGTATGTGCACTATTTAGCCATACTGGTGCACAATATTCTGCCACTGAAAAAACCAAAGCTAGAGCAGAGGTCCGAAGAGTATCTGCAGAAGCACCCCAAGTTGTTCCAGCAAGTTTTGATATTAAGTTATTTCGTGTTCTTAGTTTACCGGCTGCGTTTGTAAGATGACTTTTGAAGGTGAGTGTTCTATCAAGTGTGACGCCTAGATATTTGGGTTGTTGTTATGTTTGATAGCTGTGTCATTTAGAGTTACATTGAGAGTATCGCCCGCAAGTTGATTCGACAGGTGAAAGAGACAGGTTTCAGTTTTGTTTGTGTTAGGACGTAAGCGCCAGTTCTTAAAATAGTTACTTAGTGTAGATAAGTCCTCGTTTAGAGCTCGTTCTCCTGCTTCTTTACTATTATCTTGGAAGCCAATGGCCAGGTCGTCAGCATAAGCAAATTTTCTCGATTTTGTTTCAGGTATATCTGCTGTATAAAGGTTAAATAATAAAGGAGCTAGCACTGAGCCTTGAGGTAAGCCGTTGTTAAGTTTTCTAACGTTACTCTGTGCATCATTCATATATACCTGAAACAGTCTGTTAGTCAGTAGATTGTTTATCAGCTGACAAGTTTTGAGGCAAGGTATGATTTTCATCAGCTTATAAATAAGGCCCTCTCTCCACACCGTGTCATAGGCAGCCGTGAGACAGCCGTAATATAAGTGTAGGTGTCAAACTAGTTCACCGTGGCCTTTACAATTCTGATTGGTCCATCCAATTTTTTTATGTATTTTTGGCTGCTGGTTAAGAATTTCGAGGGTGGATTTCGATCAGAGTGATATAAAAATCAGATAGGTAATATACTTTCTGTAGCCCACTCTGGGCCAAAATTAACCGGCCACTTTAAAAATGGATAATTTTTGATTTCTTACATCCCCTAAACCTGTTGTCCGATTTAAGTGATTTTTTTAATATGTTATAGTCTTATTCCTTGACAATAACGTTATAATAATATGGTTGCTAAACAGGTAATTTTCATTGTATACCAGGTGTACGAATTAAACTTTGTTTTTTTCTTAACGTTTGCATCACCCTGTGAAATATTCTAGCATTTATAAAATATTGAAATTAAAACCTAACTATAGGTTCATGTTTTCTCAACATTTTGTTTTTGTGATTCATTCGCTTATGTTGGACAATACAAAAGTTAGATGGTTTAACAACTAGCCATGTTTTTCATCAATACAGATTATTTAACTCGCCAGCAAAATTAACCCCACCACCTTTATTATTGTTTTGTTTACAATTACATTACATTACACAACAATTCTTGAACAAGTTGTAATTAAAATTAAATTTGTAATTAAAATTGTTATTTTATATCATTGTGAACGAATATTGTTTAAGTTGAAATTTTAGTGCTTATTTATTGTTTGTAATTTTAAAAATGCCACTCGCTCCAACTGATACTGCTAGGGCAGTGGCTTCAGTTGATGCTGGTTACAGTCAACGTCATATCGCTGGTATACTCGATGTACCTAGAACTACGGTACAAGATGCCATCAGACGATTTCGAGAGATAGGATCGTACAACCGCAGGCCAGGTCAAGGCCGAAAACGATGCACTTGAGTTCGAGATGACTGCTTCATTGTCACCAAAGTATTGAGAAATCTTTTGCACGGCTCCTGAAGCTCGTAGGTGTCTTCTTGAGGTGAGAAACGTTAGTGTGAGTACACAAACGATTAGGAGACTGTCAGAAATAAACTTAAGGGCTTTTCATTCAGCTCGCTCACCACAACTGCTCCCACAACACCGTATAGCTAGACTTCATTTTGCGCGAGAATATGCTAACTGGACTATGGCGGAATGGAAGAATATACTGTACTCAGATAAGAGCAGAATAGCCCTAAAAGGTCCAGATGGACGCCAACGTATCTATAGGCGTCAAAATGAAAGGTTTGCTGCATGCGCTATAACCGAAATAAGGGCTTACCGAGAGGGTCAATAATGATTTGGGGAGGTATTTCTTACGAATCGCGTACTAATCTTGTTGTGTTCGGCAGAGGCAGTGTGAATGCCCAAGTATACGTGCAAGAAGTTCTCCAAGACCATGTCATACCTTTTGCACCATTCATTGGGGATAATTTCAGACTAATGCATGACAATGCACGTTGCCATACAGCAAGATCTACCCGTGAGTACCTTAATGAGGTCGGGATTCAAGTTCTACCACGGCCAGCACACAGTCCCGATCTTAACCCAATTCAGCATATCTGGGACAACCTTAAAAGACGGGTGAGAGTAAGAGTACCAGACCCTGCATCCTTTGAAGAGCTGAAGACAGCTGCGGTAGAGGAGTGGCACAACATTCCCCAATCTGATATCCAGGATATCATGAATGAATTGCCAAACCGGCTCCAAGAAGTCCTAAGGGCTAGAGGCGCCAATACCCATTATTGATACCCAATTGCCAAAATATTGATAATTTGAATTTTCTTGAAGATTTTATTCGTTGGATTTTTACTGTAACAAATGAATTTTTTTTTAAATATTATTTTTTCTCTTCCGCGGAGATAAAAATTGATACAAACATGTCTAGTTGTTAAAGCACCTAACTTTTGTATTATCCAACATAAGCGAATCAATCAAAAAACAAAATGTTGAGAAAGTATGAGGCTATAGTTACGATTTAATTTCAGTATTCTACAAATGCTAGAATATTGCACAGGGTGATGCAAAATTTAAGAAAAATACACAGGGTGATTCGTACAGCCGGTATACAATGAAAATTTACCTGTTTAGCAACAATATTATTATAAAGATATTGTCAAGGAATAAGGCTATAACATATTAAAAAATCACTTAAATCGGACAACAGGGGATATAAGAAATCAAAAATTACCCATTTTTAAAGTGGCCGGTTAATTTTGGCCCAGAGTATATACGCAGAATATTTAGACGGGATCAATACATTTCTGGAGTGGAAAAGCAGGAAAACAATGGAGCGTAGAAATTTGGCTGATTCGATCGTGACATCTAATGAAAAAGGAAAGGATATGTAAAAAGGAAAGAATATGTATTATGAATATGGCAAAACAAAAGATAAATGACCAAAAACCATTACTTTCTAGCTTAATAATTTGCTGCTGAAAATACAGACTTGATTGTTGGTATTTCATATCTAATTCAGAAATATTTGGGATTAAACGTGCATCACCAATTATTATTATAAGTAATATTTATATTTGAAGTTAAATTTACTCAAAAAAATGAATCTATCAAAAATTTTTTCATTCTACACATTTTCTATAGTATAATGACTTACCTGCAGTTCTATCAGTACACAGACTGTCTAAATCAGCATCTCTGTTATTAAAATCTTTGTCGCAGATAAAAGGAACCAACTCTTCTTCGGCTAACGTACCTGAAAGACGTGATCTAAATTACTACTAATTATGTGCAAAGAGTAGCGAGGAGGGCAGGCTAACTTTAAATATCAAAAAGACGAAATTTATCTCATATCAGGGCTAACTCATTAAAAATGTGAACAGATATACATACTTAAGAACAGTCATAGCCGAAAATAACATTTATACGTCATAAATCATCTCAAGAATAGGAAAAGCCCGATCAACATTTAATAATATGTAACGATCCAAAACACCTATAAGTTTTAATTCACGTATTTCAAATCCCATTCTACATCAGGTTTTAATATACTCATCTTAAAACTTCGGCTTAAAACACTTTAGTGTTCTTGGAATACAATAAACATCCAATGTTTATTTTACTCATCCCAAATTGCCGTTTAATTCGTTTTCAATTAAGATCGGAGTGAGAATCGAATCATTTGCTTGCATCGTTAAGCGAATTAAAAGTTATTGTAGACAAATATCCGAATAGAGCAAGAGACAACGGAGGAAATCGAGATCAAGAAAGGCGTAAGACAGGGTTGTATACTCTCACCGACCTTATTCAATCTATACTCCGAAGACATTATAAACACAGCACTTTCGGATCAAAATATAGGTATTAAGATAAATGGCATCCGAATAAAAACAACTTGAGATATGCCGATGACACGGTACTAATCGCAGAAACTTGGGAAGATCTTCAAATACTAATTAACAAAATAGTAGAATGCAGTGAAGAACACGGATTATCACTTAACATAAGCAAAACAAAATAATGCTAATATCTAAATCACCACAAAACTTCCCTGACATAACCGTGCATGATCAAAGAATCGAACGTGTAAGAAGATATAATTACCTGGGAACTGTTATCAACGAAAATAATGATTGCTCTGAAGAAATCAGAACGAGAATAGAGAAAGCTAGAGCCACATTTACTAAATTGAAAAAGGTGTTCTGCGGAAGAGATCTAAGTCTAAAACTTAAAATTCGCCTTTTGAGATGTTACGTTATGTCAGTTCTCCTCTACGGGATGGAAACATGGACATTGAAAAAGATCGATACCAAAAAGATAGAAGCATTGAGTTGTGGATGTATCGTAGAATATTAAGAATACCCTGGACAGAGAAAGTAACAAATGTGGAGGTTTTGCGGAGAGTGCGGAAAGAGAAAGAGCTGATACTTACTGTTAAAAAGCGCAAACTACAAGATTTGGGGACATGTTATGAGGGGAGATAAATACCAGTTGCTGCAATTGATTATACAGGGAAAGATAATGGGAAAGAGATCTATAGGAAGAAGAAGGCATTCATGGTTGAAAAACTTGAGAGAATGGTACAATTGCACCAATTACCAACTGTTTAGATCTGCAGCATCAAAATACGCATAGCTTTGATGATAGCCAAACTTCGGAACGAAGACGGCACTTGATGAAGAAGTAGGCATTTGGCGGATGCCTCCTGCCAGAATAGATAGAAGTCTTCAAAGGGGGAGTAGTATTTGAAACGTCAGAATGAATGGAAAAGACTGGTAATACCAACACTCAATGTATAATAACACATGTCTTCTTGTTTATTTGCCGTCTTCGTTCCGAAGATTGGCAATCATCAATGATATCATTTTTAATATTCTGCAGTAAACCCAGAGCTTCTATATTCTTGACATTAACCTTGTTTGATTCCATACCATAGTACAGCACTGATAAAACACAATATCTGTTGTTTCGGGCTTATATACGTTCCAAATAGACGTTTAAATCAACGATTCAAAATGTCTCCAAAGAGTCACCCAGTATATATAACGCATATACAATACATAAATATAATTAAGAGAAAAAGAAAATCATTGTTAATCGATATTTTAATTTTGTATAAATTTTTCACCATGCGACCAATCGTTGTAATGTTTTTTGGTTATAAAAATCGTAAATATTAATAAAAAAAAGTATAATTACCTTTTACATTAAAAGTATATTTAATTCCATTGGCTATTTTCGAGGTTACTTCTTCTGGTAGTAATTTAATACCTAATGGTACGAAGAAACTTAGTAATAAGAGTAGGTAACATATTAGATATCCCGATACGGTTCTCGCAATAATGTTTATAATCAAAAACACTATCGACATACCCACGCAAAACTAAAAAACAAATATAAAAAAAAATTAGTAATCTACATTAACTAAAAATTCGTCGTAAAGAGTATCGTATAATTTCAAAAACAAAAAAATATTTAAAGGTAATATCCACAATTTTTGACAGTGTGTTATAATATACGTAGGCGATCTCGTTGAGGTATTGATTCAAAATTATAAAAATATCTATAAAAAGCCTGATTTATACCCAAAAACCTTACTATAGTGTATTTTTTATGTATGAGAGAGTAATAAAACAATAAATTATGTATGCAAATCCCTAAACTGTTGATACGGGTGACTCAATGAAAAACAGATATTTGTCAACAAGTTTACAGAAGTATATAGGAAAACAATTTTAAATTGAGTATGACCACCAGGTATAAAGGTTGGAGCAGAATAGAATACAATAGTTGTGAGGGTTACTAATCCCTAAATAAGGTTGCCAGTGTCGGAGTGATGGAGGTTAACAGGTACTAATCAATTTCCAAGAAATGTAAGATGTTTATTTTATTGGTTATATATAACCAATAAAAGTTTAATAAGTACCTACCTATTTGCAAAATAAAGTTTAATTCTTTAGATAAAATAAAACGTTTTATTTTATCTGAAATGAGTGCATTCCACGAAGTAAGGGTTTCAACAATCAAACATTTAATTCTTTAATTCCAGGAATCTACGACAGTAATTGACTAGATAATTACCTTCTAAACTTATTCCACAGAAAATGTGATAGTGAGTTTTTCCATTTTGTAGGAAGGTCCAAGTGGCGTATTCAAAATTCTTAACAGTTCACTAAAAGTAGGTACTTCAGTTGCAAGGTGCAGTTTATTGTGTATACCTACTAGTGTTATGGAAAATTTGGAAGTGCCGTGTAAACGCCGAAAAATTGGTCCTTTAACAGTTAATGAAAAAACATTAATATTTAATTGTTTTAAATCATTTACAGACAAACGTTTATGTGAAAGTGTTGATGAGACCGTTAAGTTAGTTAGCAGTACACTTGGTGTTGGGAAATCTACGATTTACAGAGTTATTAAAGAAGAGAAATGTGGTAGTTTTCAAATGCCACGTAATGCTCCAGGGAAACCAAAATTTCAAATAGAATATCATTTTAAAGAAGGACTTCGACGAAAGTGCATGAATTCTTCTTTAGACAAGAATTTCCAACATTGGATAAAGTTCTTGTCTCAGTTCGAGATGATAAGGATTACCCAGAAATGAGTCGAAGTACGTTATGGAAACTTTTAAAAGAAATAGGCTTCCGCTATAAAAAAATCCCAGAAAGTCTATTTTATTAGAAAGAAGCGATATTGTCATATGGAGAAGACATTTTCTAAGAACCATAAAGGAAATGAGAAACCAAAAAAGAAAAATATTTTATCTTGATGAAACATGGATCAACGGGGGTCATACAACAAATAAATTTTGGCAGGATGAAACTGTTACAAGTCAAAGGCACGCTTTTGTAAATAACTTATCTACTGGTTTTAAACCCACCATCAGGAAAGGGACGCAGGCTGATAATAGTACACATTGGCAGTTCAGACGGTTTTGTTGAAGGTGGTTTATTAACTTTTTAATTAACTCGTGCCGGTGACTACCATGAAGACATGAACGCTGATGTCTTTCAAGAATGGTTCGAACAAATGATAGATCTTCTTCCTAAGAACTGTATAATAGTAATGGATAATGCAAGTTATCACTCCAGACTTATAGAAGGACTGCCCACAACCAAGTGGTAAAAAAAGACTTGCAGAATTGGCTGAGTTCAAAAAATATTACGTACCATCCCGGATCTATAAGAAAGGAACTTTATTCGTTGTGTGCCCTTCATAAAGAAAAATTTAAAAAATACGAGATTGATGAAATTGCCAAAAATCGTGGAATGGCAGTACTTAGATTCCCACCATATCATTGTGAATTAAACCCGATTGAACTGGTATGGGCACAGATAAAGAGTGAAGTTTCAAGAAAAAATACCACTTTTAAAATTCATGATGTTAAACAGTTGTTTTTGGAGGCCGTAAATAATGTAAAACCTGAAAACAGGGAAAAGGCAGTAAATCACACTATTAAAGAAGAGGAAAAAATGTGGAAGCTGGACAATATTACTGATAAAATGATCGAGCCAGTTATTATAAATCTTGGTTCTGAAAGTTCATCTTCTGAATCTGATTTTAATTTGTAACAAGTAGCTGTAAGTTTTATATTAAATTTTTATTCATCTATTTAACATACCTTAGACGGTTTTAAAAAATCTTTTTCTCTTTTGTAATTTTTAAAAATTAAAAAAAAATGTGAATTTTTTAAAACCCTTTTTAATGTAGGCCAGTCAGTTCTAATATAGTGTGTGATAAAAGAGGTCACTTTTGTTTACATACACATAACACTTTATAACACTGAAATAATTCATTTATTTTTACAATTATTCAAAGGAATTTTTCAATTAATCTTGAGCACGCCCATGGAGTGGTCGGAGATACCAGTTAAAATTATGCTAATTACTCTCTAGTTCATAAAAATAAACTATAACATTATTTCCAATTGTAACATAATTTAGGTAATCCAATCTTTGAATAATAGGGGAAAATGTAGTATACAAGCGCCATGTTCAATTATATTTCGAATTATTCAGCGAAAAAAATCAAAAAAATTATATATACAATAATAATATTCAAATATACTTACAGTGAGCGAATTTTCATTCCTAAAAGCTTTCAACCCATAGAATATGTCCATTATAACTATATATGTATTATCCACCATATCAGCTGACTTTATAGGTTGTTCTATTTGTCTCGAATGTGGAAAAAATGTGTCGAATAAAAAGAGAATTAACAATATAAAGAATATGAGACCAACAATTTTGATCTGCCATTGCACCATTAACCTAAAAAAGGAGGAAATACATCACAAATAAATATAATTTTTAAATGATCATCATTTATCCGCATTTTTTGGTAAAAAGCGATCGTCGTCGGAAAGTTTCGAATTTTCGATTGTTCCTGTTATCAATAAAAGAATAAAAAATAAACTATATGCTTAATTATCATAATATATCTGCTTGTGGATTTTTGCCAAAATGAACATTTTGCAATAATAAACACAATGTTCCAAATACCCGACCGATTATACACTTGGAGATCTCCTGCAGACAACAAAGACTGCATAGTCAGAAATAAAATAGATATTAGTCAAAAATAGATACAAAAACTCAATTAAAGCAGTAGAAGCATACCCCGGAGAAGATGTCAACTCAGACCATAATCCGCTGATAGCTAGAATGCATGTGAAACTCAAAAATATTGTAATTATAGAAGAAAATTGATTAACAGATCATTGCATAGAAATACCGTATGGTCCTAAAGTTTTGGGAAAAAATTCAAAAGCATATAACTCTAACCACAATAATCTTATATTTTTATTAAATTATTCAACAATTTAACTTAACTATCCTTATTATAAATCAAAATGACTTATTATAAATCAAATTCAAATGACAGACAAATGACCATTATTTTCGATTTTCCTAATAATTCCCCTGACACGTTGCATCATCCTTTGGACCACCTGAGCGTCAATTTCTCTAATTTTTGTATATATGCGGAGTATTAACTGTTCCCGATTTTGTGCTTCCCATCCGTTATTATAGACTTTCCGACTTAATATTGCCCAGAACTCTTCAATTGGACGAGCCTGAGGTAGGTTGGGCGGATTGTCTGCTTTCGGTACAAAGGTAAAGTTGTTAGTAGCAAGATCTGGCCAAAAGACTATTTGATCATTTGTAACATTGTTATTCAATCTGTACTAGCTATTTTTTAAGAAGCAATATCAGAACAACATGGTATGCCAATAAACGGAAAAATCATGGACAAAGATTCGCAGACGACACTGCTGTTTTTGGAGACAGTCTAGAAGCACTGCAACGCTTAATAAATAGATTACATCAAATCACTATAAAATATGGACTACAAATGAACGTCAAGAAAACTAAGTGCATGATTATTTCTAAGCAACATACAGTAGGAAGGCTAGATATCGAGGGAAAATAAGTAGAAAGAGTGAATAATTACAAATATCTGGGAACCTGGGTAAATGAAAACAATGAAAAAGGTAGAGAAATAAGGACACGCATTGAAATTGCAAGACAATCATTTATAAAAATGAAAACAATGTTCCTCTGGAGCTGAGTAGACTACCGATATACCGACTTAATTACAAATATATACAACAAGGCAACAACAACAATTAAGCTAATGAAACAAATGGAGCCTATTAAAATAAACCGAGGAGTAAGATAAGGAGATACCATCTCGCCCAAGTTATTTAACCAAGCGCTAGAAGATGTTTTTAAAAATGGGATGACTTGGGAATTAATATAAACGGGCAAAATCTGAATCATTTACGATATGCTGATGATATTGTATTAATAACAGAAAAAAGTGAAGAATTACAAAGAATGATGGAAGAACTAGATAGAGAATCGACAAAAATTGGACTCAAGATGAATTATAGTAAAAACAAAAACCATGACTAATCAACAGAAGAACTTATAATTACAGTGGCACAAACAAAAATAGAACAAGTAAAAGAGTATATATATCTAGGCCCAAATCACTAAATTAAATAAAGAAAATCAGACCGAAGAAATAAAGAGAAGACTAAGATTGGCCTGGGCATCATTCGGAAAACTGTCTTATATTCTAAAGAATTCAAAATACCCCCAATACTTAACGAGAGTCTTCAATCAATGTATACTCCCTGTCCTCACATATGGCTCTCAGACATGGACGTTTACAAAGGAAAATATGGAAAAAATAGCAAAGACAGAAAGATCCATGGAAAGACAAATGCTGAACATTAAACTATCAGACAAAAAAAGAAACGAATGGATCCGTAATAAAACAAAAGTGAAAGATGTCTCAACCCAAGTAGCAAAGCTTAAATGGAAGTTCGCCGGACACACCCTAAGGCAGAAAGATGAAAGATGGACTAAAACAATTATACATTGGAGACCATGGAATCACAAACGTAAAAGGGAAAGGCCACAAATGCGATGGTCAGATGACCTGAAGAAACACGCGGGTCAAAATGGATGCAAATTGCCCAAGATAGAGAGGCATGGAAGAAGAAGGAGGAGGCCTATATCCAAGGATGGTTGTTAAGGGCTGTATAGATAGATAGAGACATTTTTGTGATAAATACTTACTTTTTGAATTATTTGTGAAAAATCATCTGAAAAAGCGATGTTTACTTTAAAAGATAAATATTTTCACTCGCAATAATTCAAAAACTTAGTGAAAAATTCTATAGAATAAAAATTGTATAGAATGATCCATTTACGGACTTATTACAATTATTCACACCCCAAGTTAAAGCAACCCTGGGCTCCCAAAAGTGAAGTACGGACTAAAAGGAACCTAAATCCAAATTTTCAAGCAAATCCGTCGTGACAAGGAAAATTACAGTCCAAAACAATCATTTACTGGAGTATACAGGCCAAGTTTTCAAAACGGTAATTCGTTCCTGCTTCAGATGTAAAGTACTACCATATTTCTAAGAGACTCATTAATATTCAGCTCAGAGAGGTGCTCTTGCTCGTGGTATCAAAATCTATAAACCCGTTTTATGAAATGATCCGTTGTTTATATAATTTCATACCTCGAACAATAGCACCCAGCTATTACGATCCTATTCAGAGACGATCCCCCGCTGCCTTGCGGTAGACACTTCTCAATGATAAATATTAATGACTCTTAGATCTCTGGTAGAACTTTATATAACCGTAAAAAATGAAAAAACTCAGACGAAAATAATATTTTTTCTAATATTCTTACTGACAATATAAATAAAATGATCGATAACGGTAAAGTTGTTACGATATGAATTGGGAAAGAACAATTTTTGGGGTCCGGTCAGTAATTCTACGGCGAACATAGAAATAAAGATACATCTTTGTAATTCTAATTATTGATTACTCCTGGTATTAGTCCACATGGATATTGGTGTGGCTTATTAATTTGAACGTATCTTATTGGGTAATACTGAAATGTAATTGGTCAAATTTTTCGGAAGTGCATACACTATAACCAAATCTGGCTTTGCCGTTAGCAGGTAAAAATTGCTTCTCATGTTTCAAAGGCGGCAAGCATTTAAATAAACACAATAACAGTGTCGTCGTGATAAATTAATTTTATTTTATTTTAAACTTATATAAATTATTTTATTTTTATAGCAAAATTGTAAACTCATTTTTTGGTTCTCAAATTAATAAGCACATTACATTTCATTTGCATTATGTATGTATGTATATACTTTTAATCATCAAGTTTAAATTTCAATAAAAGTTAAGGAATTTTTAGGGTCCAGTCCCAATAATTCAGAAATATAAACATTATTTGTAATTGATCACTAACGGTATTGTCCATATTGCAGCTGTGGTTTATTACTTTCTACGTATCTTATCCGGCACTACTGAAGTGTAATTAGTCAAATTCGCCTTCTCTGGTTTCTCATACTAAACGATATATTTAGTATCGTCGTGTACGACAGCAAGTTCACGTATATTTTTAATATTTTTGTGCAAACAGTAGTGTTGTGTTTTAGTTAAGTTTGAGTTAAGACAGTAGAAAATAAGTTGTAAATACAATAAAGAATATGACAATAGAGACATTGTGTATCTTGATGAAAACGTGGTTTGACACCCATGATGTAGTTCAATATGGCTGGATGGATGATAGCAAAAAGTGCTGCTTGAATACTCCTTGTTCGAGAGGAAAAAAATTATAATTCTACATGCTGGAACTAAGAGCGGGTTTGTACCTAATGCCTTGTTATTATCGGCCAAAAACATTAAACAGTGTCATCAGCTGATTATCATGAGGATATGACGGCTGAACTTTTCGAAAAATTGGCAACGGAACAGCTGTTACCGAATATTAAAACAAATTCCGTGATAGTAATGGATAATGCGTCATACCATTCTAGACTCTACACCAAAATTCCAAATACTAGCTCCAAGAAGGAAGATATCATAGAATTTATGGAGATTAAATGCATGGCAACACCTAGTAAATGTACCAAAAAGGAATTGTTGCAATTAATTAAGCAACAAAATTTTCAAAAAGAATATGTAATAGATAAACTCTTTAAACGCCACGGGCATACGGTTTTACGGCTCTCTCCATATCATTGTGTTTTTAACCCAATTGAAATGATATGGGCCAATGTAAAAAAGAAATTGCGGAAAATGAATCAATCTCCCCAATTAAGTGACGTTGTTGTCCAAAATATAAGAACAGTGATCGAAGAACTTAACAAAACTGACATTTGGAAAAATTGTGTAGCGCATGTTCAAGTAAAAGAAAAAGAATATCCTACTTTACCACCAATTGAACCGGTAGTTATAAACACAAACGACGACTCAAGTTCTGGACACACGGATAGTGATAGTGTTTAATTGTTTGAATATTTCTACAAAGACTTCCACAACTTGTCAAAAATATGTTCTGTATATCGAAGTAAATGTGATCTCTCGATTAATCTATAACCTAAGAGACAATTCGACTGTAAGACGAATTGGCCGATTTCATGTAAGTATCTTTCAAAAATAAGCTCTTTAAACCGATGAAACTTACAGATCATATTCATGATTATTTTTTATCAAAAAAAGGGATCAACTTTGTTTTGAGCGTAACTTGCTTACGTTTGATGCTAGAAACTTTTTTAAAAATCAAAAATAAAGATTTCTCTAAACAATTAAAAAAAAAGTAAAAAAACATTTTTTTTTTTGATTATTTCACGTTGAATTATTCGATATGGAATTTGACGAATAGGTAAGAATCTATTTTTCATTAGCTATAACTCTGCTTCTGCTGGGTATACAGACTT